CACTAAACCGCTGAGCCACCCAAGAATGCCAAGTGTCTGACTCTTGATCTCAGCTCAGGTCTTGATCCCAGGGTTGTGAGTTCAAGTCCTACATAGGGCTGTACCCTGGGTGAGAAGCATATTTAAAAAAAAACAATTTAAGTATAATTGGCACACCATGTTACATTAGTTTCAGGTGTACAACATAGTGATTTGACAAGTCTATGTGTCACCACGAGTGTAGCTACCATCTGTCACCATACAATGCTATTATGATACCATGAACTATATTCTCTATGCTGCGTGTTTCATCCCTGTGATTTATTCATTCCATAACTAAGAGCCTAGATCTCCCACTCTCCATCACCCATTTTGCCCATTCTCCCACCCTGCTCCCCTCTGGCACCTACCAGTTTGTTCTCTGTATTTATGTTCTTTGTCTTAATTGTGTTGACTGCATGACTGTACGTGTTTGACAAAACTCATTGGAATGTGCACTAAAAAGAATAATTTTATTTTATGTAAATGATTCCTCAATATACCTGATGCAAAAAAATGTATTAAGCCTCATTTATGGAAATTAGCAAAATGTTGTCCTTCTGTACCACGTGGAGTGTTGTGGCTGTGCGATTATTGAAGAATTAGTAGTGTTTTTGCAGTTAGACCTGGGATGGTAGGGGCAGGCATCCCAGAAAATGACTCCATATAAGCAAACATAAGCATGTGTGGGACACTTTAATAAGAGAAGGCACCAAAATGACCCGGAGGTTACCTAGACCAGAACCAATGTAAGAGCTAAGAGAGCAAACTCGAGTTGGACAGTCTGAATTTGAACCTGGCTCTTCCACTGCCTATCTTTGAGACCTTCGGCAAGTTACTTAACTTGACTATGCCTCAATCTCTGTATGTACAAAGAAAATGATAATAGTCACATGCCTTGGGTGCTAAGAAGTAAACAACTAATACAAAGTGCTTAGACTCATGCTGAGCATATAGTAAATGCTCAGTTAATGTTAGCTACTATTACCCACTGGCTCCTTCAACCCACCTAAGTACCACTTTGTGCCCTGCCCTGAGACTGGACTTTGGACACTTGGAACAGAATCATCTTTGGATGATTTGAGATCTAGTGAGGGAAGGAGACAGGCAAACAGACAATGCAGAGTGATAAGTGCTAATAATTGACGAAAACACAGGATTATGGGGACACAAAAGGAATGAAGGAGAAATTGATCTCTGCAGAGAAGAGGAAGTAGAATTCACCCAAAAAAAGCCCAAAGAGAAGGCAACTTTTGAGTAGCATTTTGAAAGATAACTAAGAGTTTGGAGACTATCTTCCTGAATACCTTGTGTACCTTTTAAAGACAGAGCCCAGAGAGTGTTTTGAGGATTCTTTGGGGGAAAAAAAGAACAAGAAAAAGAAAAGTTTAATAACTATAGGTGAGACTTTAAAGGGAGTAGGACTGAATTCAGTAGAACCAGAATCGCATGATCAAAGTTTTATTTTGGAAGGATGGTCCTGGTGTGGAGGACGATGGTCAGAGTGAGATAGTCAGTGAGGGGACTTCTCTGATAGTCCTGAGGGATGGGCTTGGGCAGGGAACCGGCTATGGACATTCAGGAGAGATTTCAGAGGGGGCTAGCTGGATGTGAAGGGGTCAGAAAGATGTTAGTGCCTGAGCTGGGACCAGAACTCAGATTTACCTAATCTGTCAACCACTGTATAATGATGTCTGTCTCGCGTGCTGCGGAGGGTACAGAGGTGAACAAGTCTCACCCCAGCCCCTGGGGTTCTCATTCTGGTGGGGAAAAAGTCTTAGACAAATAATCAGAGGGTAATGAGTGATTTCAGGGAGGGTAGGCCCAAGCTGTAGATCATGAAAGGGGTTCGAGGATGATGTGGGAGAAGCTGGATTGAATGTGTAGTGGGATTTTAGTTTGTCGAGGGATTGCACGAGCACAGCCATAGAGGCAAGTAACTGACAGGGAGGCAGCTGGACTTTGCTGGGGAGATGAGATCTGGAGCAGGGGGGCAAGCCTTGAAGGTCCTCAACAGCTTCCTCTTTGAGTTCTTTAGAGCTGAGTTCTGAGCCTGATGGGTTCCCAAGAGTAATGGTTACTTGTATGTCAACTTGACTGAGCTACAGAGTGCCCAGATTAAACATGATTTCTGGGTGTGTCTGTGAGGGTGTTTCTGGCTAAGATTTACATTTTTGAACCTCTGGACTCAGTCAAGTAGATTGCCTCCCCCATGTGGGTGGGCATCATCCAATCCATTGAAGGCCTGAATAGAACAAAAAGGTGGGGGGCACCTGGGTGGCTTAGTCGATTAAGCATCTGCCTTCAGCTCAGGTCATGATCTCAGGGTGCTGGGGTCAAGTCCCATGTTTTGGGCTCCCTGCTCAGAGGGGAGCCTACTTCTCCCTCTCCCTCTATCCTCCCTGCTCTCTCTCAGATGAATAAATAAAAAAACTTAAAAAAAAAAAACAAAAAGAACAAAAGTGTGGAGGAAGAAGGAATTTGCCCCTTTTGCTTTCTGCCTTTGTGCTTAAGTTGGACCATTGGTCTTCTCCTGCCCTTGGACTAGGACTTACACCATTGGCTCCCATGGTTTTCAAGTCTTCAGATTAGAATTAGATCACTGTTTTTTCCATGTCTCTGGCTTGCAAATGGCAGGCAGATCATGGGAGTTCCCAGCTTCCATAGTCAAGTGAGCCATTTCCTCATAGTAAATCTCTTTCTGTGCATACATATTCTACTGGTTCTCTTTCTCTCTGGGGATTCCTGACTGATACACTGGGTCAAGAAGCATGAGAGATATGGTCTAGGAACCTGAAGAGCCAGCTTCTGTCTTCTATACTTAGATCACTCTCGATGCCCATAGGAATGCATAACCAGGGACATAATAAGCCGAAGCACTCAAAGTAATAAACACGTCTATATTTAGTAAGAACTGCCATCCACCAAAGTAATAAATTCAAAAAGAATTCTAATTTATAGCATGTATCACTCTAATTTAGGGGTCGCTGCCTTTACCAAACACCATGATTATGACTGGATCAGAAATAGGAAAAAGTAGCAGGTTCAGTTTACACATTTTAAAATGAAATGTAAGGATGCCCAAGTGGCTCAGCAGTTTAGCACCACCTTCAGCCCAGGGCGTGATCCTGGAGTCCCGGGATCGAGTCCTACATTAGGGCTCCCTGCATGGAAACTGCTTCTCCCTCTGCCTGTATCTCTGCTTCTCTGAGTGTCTCTCATGAATAAATAAATAAAATCTTTAAAAATAAAATAAAATGAAATGTACCCTCGAAGAGCAATTTGTTGTTTTGTGCACATACAGGTTACTCTGGTCTCTTAACAGTTTAACTTATATATCTCTAGGTATGTGTTTTTACTACCATCTCAACTTGTCCTTCCCATTTAGTTTCTTTTTTAAAAAATATTTATTTATTTATTTATTTATGATAGACATAGAGAGAGAGGCAGAGACACAGGAGGGAGAAGCAAGCTCCATGCAGGAGCCTGAGGTGGGAATCGATCCCAGATCTCCAGGATCACACCCTGGGCTGCAGGTGGCACTAAGCCGCTGCACCACCATGGCTGCCCGAACTTGTTCTTCCCAGAACAGAGTCACTTCTTTCCTTTTAGGCACACTAGAACTGGTAACTTGTCCCCAGTGAGGCTCCTAATCTCTTCTTCAATCTGACAGCAAATAGTGGACCAATGATTATGTATTTGTGTGTGCATGTGCATACACACGTGTGTGCTGAACATCCTTCAACCATTCCTCAAAGACTTTGATTTCTCATAAAATTTGCATTTGTCACCCTTCAGATCACTTACCCACCTCTCTCATGTACTATCTCCTTGGAAGAATGGGTCTGCGGGGCACCTGGGTGGTTCAGCGGTTGAGCGTCTGCCTTTGGCTCAGATCCTGATTCTGGGGTCCTGGGATCTCCCGCATCGGTCTCCCCACAGGGAGCCTGCTTCTTCCTCTGCCTGTGTCTCTCATGAATAAATAAAATCTTCAAAAAAGAACTTTAAAAGAGGATGGGTCTGCTTTTGAACTCAGCAAATGTCATATCACTCATAGTGGGAGGATTATAGCCAATCACCTGGACTAATCCAAGCCAGTGTTCCACTGGGATGTAGCAGTGACATATAATACATTGAGTTTACAGTCAACTATCTCAGTGTAAAAGCAAGGAAGTTTCCTGGAGAAATCTGATGGAGAGTGCTCCAACGTTTGAGTTCAGCCTTCTCCCCAACTCCTTCTCTTCTCCAAGTTGTGGAGGGGTCATGTAGTAAGTGCCAGCCAGATATTTTTTCATGTTATGCTAAAATGAAGTCCAGGCTCAAGGTGGCTGTTGTGAGATCTAACAAGCCAGTATCTTAGTTTCAATTACATTTAGGGGCAAGGGGAGAGTAAAGATGTTCTTACATTTTGCTCTAAATAAGAACTCTAAATCCCCATCAGAAACTATTTGTTGTTTCTATGATGCTGAGAATATACCAGTGTCCACGGACATGGCTTACAGGCTTGAAAAGTTTATTCAGAATCATTTAATGCAGTTACTGTCCTGTTCCCCCACTCCCCAAGTTATGAATCCTAATCTTTAAAAAAAATTAAATATTATATATATTATACATTGTATCCTTTAATACAAGGCACTGTAAATCCTTTTTGGAAGAAGGTGGGGGTCATAAACAAAAAATAAATATTCCAAGAATGTATTAGGAAAGTTTGTGGATTCAGGGTGGGTTGTCTACAAGTTTATAGTTTGTGGCTTAGAAGACTTTGTGCTGCTGTTATCAAAAACCCAGAGACATAACTTCAAGGCTAAGTTAACTCATTCCATGCCAATATCTGACAGATTTGTTTTGTTTTTCTTTCTCTCCAACAATTGCCTATCAAAGAATGACTCACTTTGAAATTTCTAAGTACTGTCTCTTACATGTTACATTGCTAAGTTTTGCTCCTAGTGATCACTGCATGTATAGTAATCACATGATCATGCTTAATATTCTGATGGTTTTATTAACAAGTATATAATACATATATTGCATACTGTATATAGTATATGAGGACTGTACAGTACAAATTTATGTTCACAGTTTGACATGACAAAATGTCATTACTGAATTCCCATTGGACTACAGAGTAGAAACAGAGAAGGTACATTAAACATTCACATCTTTAGTAAGAAAGATTACCAAAATGTTTCAGTATTTGCAAGTATACTAATGCATGCTAAAAACCTTTACCCATTCAGTCTTATTAGCTTATAAAATATATTACACTTTATTAAAAATTTCTGCATAGTTTATACAAGTATTAAAGTATTGTAAATGTAATAATCCTGCTATACTTGCAGGTATGGTTTAAGAGATGCTAAGCAGAAAGATTATTTTGACCCTCTAACACTAAGTACATAACAGCAAAAAAAAAAAAAAAGTGCTAGTATTTGTAAAACATAGTATTGTTGTAGCCCTCGTTTAATGCATGTAAAATGGCTTTGTAAATGTATTAAGTGAATTTGCGATCATTTAGAACTTGTTAACCTCGACCAAGAAGAGAATAAAGACAACTCTGAGCAACTTCATGTATAACAGCAATTCCTTCAAGATGACTGTGTATTTTCTAACCAAATTATTTTAAAACCTTACATCTTTGAGATTGTCTTTAAAACAATCTAATCAGGAATGACGTGCAGACATATAGTATCAGCAATAAAGTCTTTCAAATTCCACATTAGTGCAACACTGATAGTGCAGATGGGTGTTTAATAAAATATACATTTACATCTATAGTTCCCCTATAAATCTGTTCCAAGGCTCTTGAAACTTCCATGTATTTAGCATTTCCTTAGTTGAACATAGCTATGCTGCTAACATGTTCTCCATACCAGATGATTTAGAATGTTAATGCCCATTTATGATGTAGATTCACATTTTAGAACTCTAAAATATGATGGATCCAGCCTTAATTTTTCTGACTTCCCCAAGATGACACTTGGACAATAAAAAGAAACTCTATAAAAAAATTTATACAACACTAACTTCATGTTTACAAATCATTCTCATCAATGTAAAATATTGCAATTAAAACCACCATAGCAATATGGCACATCATTAAAACCACATGTTCACGGGCATCTTATCTTGTATTTGAGGTCTTCCACAATTAACACCTAAAAATGTCTAAGAGACTAAATTTCTCAACTATCATAGTAAAATACAAATATATATAAAAAAGGAAAATTTGGTTAAGAGCCAATTGGTAACTAAAGTATACAGACCAGAATGGGAACAGAGAATGGCCTCTCTGGGTTGCTTTTCTTTCAGAGTTAAAATGTATCTTTGTTAATGAACTGTTAACATAACCTAAGTAAGCTGAAGAGTAATGTAAGTCTTTGCAGGGTCTTGCTTGCTCTTTTGAACAAAATTTAAATATGCATAACACATCAAATTTCATGAGAACCTACAAAGCTTTCTATCAACTGGACTCACACTCAAAGCTAATTATGCAAAGATGATCAATTCTACCCTTTCTTGCCTTTTTTCCTACCTTCTATATGGGTTGGAACACATACACAGGTCATCTCCATCTCCTTGCATTTCAACTCGATTCTTCAGTGTGTCATAAAAGAATCACTTCTAGAAATAAACACTTTGGCATAAATGTGACTGAGCATTTACAGTACGGACAATACCTACTTTATCCCTCAAATCATGTCATAGTTGCAAAAACACAAACAGAAAAAAAAGCCCAATTAGGAGATTTTAATATTCTAAATTTCGCAGTGCTTACAAAAAAAAAAAAAAAATCAAAACCAAGTGCCAAGAAGATAACAAATCACTTTGCATTTCTCAACTACATTTCCTTTCAGCTGGTTCAGAGGGCTGAGTGGGATCTCTTAGGTGCACAGTCCCTACAACTAACTTTTATTAACATAGCGTCATCAAAGTAAGCTCCCCACATGATACACAGGCCTCCAGAATCACTCATTCACTGATGTTTTAAAAACAATTGAACAATGTGCTCCTCCCAGTAAGGTTGTGCTGGATCCTGAGTTGTGGCTGGGATGAATCGTCAGGATTCCACTCTTCTCTTCTCTTCCATCCTTTATTGAGGGATGAAGGCGCATTTGGTGATATGCACCTACATTTGACCACCGTCGCCCACTGTCTTCAAACTTAGGACCAATGACATTTCTATGCATGAATTATTTTTATTGGCATTTAGACTATGGTGCTCAAAAGCCAGCTTTTGGGAAAAAAAAAAAAAAAAAAACTTCCCCCAAATAATGACGCTATTTATTTTTAACATAAACACGAGTCATTTTCAGCTTCTTCTGATGGGATAATTGAGAGTGATAAATTTCCAGCTCTTTAGCAGTAGATGTTGGGGAGATTGAGCTATAAACATATGAATCCCTGAACTGTGGTTTTCGTATTTTTCAGAAATCTTTCCCCCAAATGAAGGTATGTGTGCTTCACAACTAGTTGTATTTACAAATAGTGTCACTCAGGTCTTAAATTGAATGCATCTACTAAAGCATTAGCAGATACTTATTTATGGTATGTATCACAGACACAATTGACAGCCAACTTGGCACCTTACAGTTCACTCGGAAGAGTTTCTGTATAAAAGCTGTATGATTAATTTGATACGGGAATACAATTACCACTCAACGTGTCCCCGTTTGAAAAAAAAAAAAAAAAAGCTGTTAAGTAGGTTGGGGAAAAAAGGACCATCCAGATTCTTACCCAAAAGATTTCTTTCTTTTTTTTTTTAAACGATTACTGGGCAAATATTTTTGTGGTGTCCCTACAATCAACGCTTGATGACTCACATTAAGGACATTGGAGGAATAGTGACAGGTACATGGATAACTGTCAGTTTTCGGCTTTGCTGTATGGTTCTGAACAGTCGGAACACAAGAGCCTGGAGCTCTGGGAATGCACTGCATAGCTAACCAAACAAACTGAAACCTCACCAAAGAGCCCTAGCCCAGGAGGAAGGGCCAGCTTCCTCCTCGGCCCCTGCCGCTTCTCCCCTGCGCAGTGCCCCTTTGTTCTGACTCCATGCTAGACAGATAGAGCATCCAGCCCTTAAGTGACACACCTCACCTGCCTGAATCAGCAGCTCTGGCTCAGCTCCAGTGGTGGCTGAGACCTTCTTGTCAGCTGCAGCCACAAAGGAGTGTAAAGGACTTAATTTAGATAATGTGGGAAATCCAAGTTGACAAGCAGGATCTGTGAAGGGCAATGGAAGAGTGGACGGTCCTACCTGAAATCTTGCTGCACCTCTAACTAGGCTGTGAAAGGGTGTCCACCCTTTTTGCTGGCGAGCACAAAATACGATCACTGGGCACAGAGGTATGAACGTCCCTGGCAAGGACTAGCAGGCTGGATACTGTATTTCTAATACATTTACTTTGACATTCTTTTGAGAAATACATGGAGAAACTGACAATTGGTTATTTGAAGTTTACATGTTCCCTTGTTCTCATTACATTAAACGTATCTGTAAGAAGGGTTTGCTTAGCATCCCCGGAAAAAAAAAAAAAAAAAAAAGTGTTCACATTCTTTAGGTCTGACCCGTGGTAAGGAGAGGAGGATTAGAGAACGTCTACTACTGACCATATGGAAGTTTGAATGATATAAATTCAGAGATTCAGACCAGCTGAACCAAAATTAAAATGTACATGTAAAAAATGAGTTAGATAATGGGTGGGAGGACAGAGAGAGAGCCGGGAAGAGTGGGGAGCCAGGCTGAGGTGGGGGACGGAGGCATTCAAACTAGCATGTGGCGTTTCCTATGCAGGGCAAGGTGGTCAGAACGGGAGAAGCTGCGGTCACAGTCTGGACACTGGAAAGGTTTGATTCCAGTATGTTTTCGGAAATGTCTTGTTAGTTCATCGGACCGAGCAAACTTCCATGTGCATCCTTCCCATGTACATTTGTAGGGCTTTTCTCCTGCAAAAAGGAAAAATGGGAGAGCTTATTTTTTTTCCCTGAGGGCAAAAGGCGATTCATTAGTAAAAAAAAAAAAAAAAAAAAGAAGAGAGAGAAAGAAAAGAAAACATTGGTGAAATTAAGATCTTTGAGCTAAAACACTGGGCAAATATTATTTTCAAGGTAGGTCCATCCATTTGTTTCCCAAAAAACACAGCGCCACAGAAACCACAGCAAGATAAATGAGAAAAGGATGGCTTAATTCTCTTAATATTTAACTGGCACTTTGCCAATGAGAAAAAAAATTTTTTTAAGAGTTCTTAAAGCATAAAGCCACTGAAATCCATTCGGAGGAGCTAGCAAATAATATTTTGGTTTGCCCTCAATAGTAGGGATGAATAACTTAAGAAACAACTCGTGATCTGTGTTTATCTCCAAGTCTTAAAGTTACTGGGGTGCTCAGTTTTATGTATTGCTTTCCACTTAATGAAAAGTCCAAATTGAAAGTCTGTGGGATTTTCTTATTATTTTAATAGTTTCCTAAAAATGAGAAGTGTGCCAGACACTGGCAGGGATTTCAGCATCTTTTGTTTAGTCAACAGCAATTACGCTTCAGTATAATGCTCTAATTCAGACATACTAAAAATACAGCAATTTCTCCCCACCCCGGCAGAAGCCAGGTCTCTCCAACCCCCTCCTGTGGGATGATGACAGGCAGGAACAGGAGCTCCTTGGGGGAAATCATAGGGAGAGCCAGGATGAAGACCCTTACAAATAAAAAGGCCATCAGTGGCAATCTGAAATGTTTGCATTAGTAATCATGGGCAAATGGGCATCACAAATCAACTCCCGTCTACTATCCCTTGTTTTCTAGAAATTTTAAGGATTGACATTCCTTGCTATTTCAAGAAGATATTCAGACTTGTATTACCTGCTTTGCTTCACAGAACATAAGTGCTGAGGTTATTTTCCCTATACCTCAATTGTTATTCAAATATTTAGTGTCTGGGGCAGTTGGGTGGCTCAGTGACTGAGTGTTTGCCTTTGGCTCAGGTCGTGATTCTGGGGTCCTGGGATCGAGTCCCACATCAGGCTCCTAATGGGGAGCCTGTTTCTCCCTCTGCCTATGTCTCTGCCTCTCATGAATAAATAAATAAAATCTTTAAAACGAACAAACAAACAAAATATTTACTGTCTTTTTAATCTTAGGCTGAAAGTTGGTAACATCCACCTCTCAGGTTCTGTCAATGCCCTTGGTGGTGCTTTTACTAGTTACCTTGGCATCACCAATTGGATGTTCCTCTAAACACAAGGTGATCACCCTAGTTCCCTCTGTAATAACAGGGACAGCCCAAGAACTCAGCTGTCCACAAGCTGGTGTCCCCTCTCCCAGGGAGTCACTGAAAAACTTCACTTCCATACCCCTATTTCCCTTCCCTTTTCTCTTCCAAATCCCAGATTTTTCTTTTTGTCAACATCCCTCATTCAAATGAATCATAAAAGCTCAAAAGCAAACAAACAAACTACATTCTGAGTTAAGGAAAAGGTGCACCCAGGACAACTGCTGTTGTACTAGAATTTCACATGGAAGGGGTTTGAGGTCAGGTCAGCTGGGACTTACTGTCAACTGTAACCACCAGTACTGACTGGGATTAATCAGGCCATGGAAAACATTTTTACACCGATTCCTTGAGATATTTTGCACATGAATGTTCAAGAGCAAACGGAACAGTATTCCTCACTGCTGTCATCATTTTTGTAAGATATGGCTGCCTGTTCTGTATTCAGTCCTGGGCAGAATAAATAATACCCCGGGACAAATAGGGCAGGCAATGGCATAGAGGTTCCCTCAGTTTTAGAAGACATGAATCCCCCAAAGACCTTTACTTTTCTGTATTTGTTCTGCATACTGAACTGTGGGGGTTTTTTGTTTTGTTTTGCCATTGTGAATTTGATGATGTACAACACTTATTAAATGATGGTCCCTACGAAGGCCACATCCTTGATGAAACAGGCCTATGGCTAGGAGCCCTTCCCCTCCGTTCCAGCAGCCTTTCCAACCTTTTCTCTCTCCCTGAAACACAGAATATAGAGAACTCCACGGGACTGGGAGGGACCCTGTCACGGAGATAACCCAGAATCGAACGGAAGTATAAAAATAAATCTTGAACCAAAAGTTCGTTTTTCAGGACCAGCAGAGAGCTATATAGCCCAACTCGGCTGGCTTGCACAATGTCTGGACCATTTCATTAGAATCACCTTGGAAAGCTAGGATATCTATTTCTAACATCCTATTTTGCTATTTGTGAAGAAGAAAGCTGGAGGGAGTGTAGTATGTCTGATACCTGTGTGTGTTCTTCTGTGCGCTTTCAGGTGAGAGCTTTTAGTGTACACCTTGTTGCATCCGTCATAGTCACATCTGTGTATCCTTCGTTTCCGCTGGGTGTCCGGGGACTCCACAGGCAAAGGTCTCTTCCCTGGTTGTACTATGACTGATGGATGATTCCTATGAGAAAACCGACGTTAAATATAAGGTATCAGGTCAAAGTCTCTTCCTCTCCTTCAGTCTACCAAAGGCATTAACAACACTAGGCGAAAACAAACGAACAAAAAAACAAACAAAAAAAAACCCAACAGAATAAACAAAAAGAAAATTAGCGGATCAACCCAAGAAGCACTGCTATATTCATTCAACAAACATTGAGTGAGCACCTACCATGAGCCAGGCACTGTGCTTGGCACCAGGACACAAAGATGAATAAAAACAGGGTTCCTGCCCTCGAGGAGCTCACACTCTAGGGGGAGACAGACATGTAGATAAGTAATGACAGCAAGAAGGGTTAGGTGCTATGCTAGAGGGAGATGCAGGTGCTAGGAGAGTCTCTCGCCCTCAGTAAAAAATTGCCTGTTCAGAAAATCTCATGGTACTTTATAAAGCCATGCTGAACCCTGTTACCCTGTCTTGTCACTGGCTGCCCTGAGTGTCACTTATTGCTCTTTAGGGAAAAAGGTAAAAGGCCAAATTCCTAAATCTCTGGCAACCCCCACTAAGTTATCTACATTTTTAGCCTTTACATAACGGGCAATTAATTAGCTTCTCTTCAAGATCACCAATTCACATTGGAGTTTCAAATTTTGGCTCTTCAAAAATCAAGAAAGAAAAAGAAAGAATGGCACTGCTGAGTTCACAACCTCAAATACCTGTTGCTGGTATTCCTGCGTGAGGGCGAATTTTGGTTGGTGCCATGCTAGCTGTCAGGCAAGGAGGAGTCCCCTCAGCCCCGACAGTGGCTCTCAGGGGCCCCTGGGTCTCCCAGCTTTCCTGGCTGCTCCCCCAGACCCATGCCTGCGTCGGCACACCTTTCCAGGGTGGGTTTGCAATCATGTCAAACACTATTGCTCTGAACTTTCTTTTTCAGAAAGGGATCTGGTGGAAAGAGGAGGCAGATGGGGAAGGGCTGGGGAAAGTCTGCAAGCCTTCCTCGGGCTTCCTCTGCTGATTAATGTCTGTAATTAAAAAATTCTAATCTGTTAATTTGCTTTCCTAACGACTAATTACTTGATACATCACAAGCTTATGGAACTGGCCTCAGACGGTAATGAAAACTTCTTTGTCTTTTAAATTGGAATCTAAAGTTCTTAAAAACGTTCCAAATAACATATGAATTTTCTGTACAAGCATGGATGAAGAGAAAGGGAATCTGATGAAGGCAAATACTCAAGCTTGGGAAATTAAAAAAAAAAAAAAAAGAAAGGATAATAAAATTTCACCATAAAAATCAAAAGGGAGCCCCTGAAATGAAACTTGTTTGGATCTGGGTAAAAATCTCAACATATGTCCCTTATCGGTAACTCTTCCAGGTAGGCTAAGAAGTAACTAGGAAAAGAATAAAAGGTGCATTGACTTTAAGTGACTCTACTTATTTCTCACTTCTATTATTAGCAAAGAAAACTGGCAGTTGAGTCTCACTTTACCTTCCTACCTTGATGTTTAGTGGGGGTGATATAGAAGAATAAAATAGCCAAGATGGAAAAGTGAATATGGGTGGGTGTGTGTGTGGGAGGGACAAGGACTTCAATTCTATATATATGTACAAACAGAGAGAAAATAGAAAAGTGACAGATCTATGGACACGTACAGTTTTCAGACAGCTGAATCATTAATTTAAAATCCTTCAATAGAAAGAAAAGAGTTATCAGCTTATTTTTAACTTTCCACCTTAATGCCATGGATTGAAAGGTTTCATCTTCATTAAGAGAACTTCAAGAAATAAAATGCTGGGGGAGAAACTGAATGTTTAAATACATCTCTTCTGCCTCTGGGATACCGGGGGAGTATCCCAGGTGATTTTAGAAGTCTCTCCCAATTATTAGATTTTATGGGTTGGGAATCTGTCTAATAGTCTCTGTGCAGCAGTTACGATCGCTTTTCCCAGCTCGTTTTGCATATAAAGGTATGTTAAAAGGCTGTGTGCTCCAAGGTCAAATCCCAGCTCTGTCACTGATTGTCCTTGTGACCCTGGGCAAAGGATTTACCCTTCTGTGCCTCCGTTGCTCCTGTAAAATAGGGATGATGGGAATAATATGATCTCAGGAGGTTGTGAGTAATGTACACAAAGCAGGATAACATCTGTTCCAGATGTAAACCCACTAAACGGTAGCTGTTAATATTTTGAGGTTCAGAAACCCATTTGCAAACTTTGCCCCTTCAGCTGCTTAATTTCATAAGGTTTTTTTTGGGGGGGAGGGGGAGTCCCAACACTAGAAAAGGAAATCTCTGCTCAAGCCAATGTCTACCTTAACAGGTAGCATCACTGAGAGCCCATGGCAGCCCCATCTCTAAGAAAGCCAGATGCTGGCAGAAGGTGGAGAGCGGGATCTTGAGATCTCGTCCTTTTTGGATTCTCCACTGCTCACTTTCAAAAAGGCTATTTGGGACCATTACAGCCAAGAAGTTAGAACAGCTCTTAAATATCAGATACCTGGTCATTGTTTTGAGTTAAGCCGGACCCTCTTAAGTTTGTTAAAATTCACACACACAATTAAATGAGGAGATCGGATCCTCAAGCTTTTTGTTCTAAAGACATTGCACATGTGTAAATATTAAAAAAAGGAATCTGACTGACAGTTGAGTGCCTTTAAAAATAATTCTGAAGCTGTAACTCTTACATTCCAGCAAATGGATTTCAAAGCTGTATTTTAAAGTCTGCCTTCGGAAAGGAAGGCCTTCCGGAAGGCAAATATTGGAGCTGCCTCATCGCAATGGTACTATGCGCTTGGTTTCCATCGATTCTTTCCTGGCTAGCTGGTTTCCTATGTGGGCTGTGACTGGGCACACGCCAAGACATTACTTAATCACATCTGTGAGAGAATTACTTAAAGAGTACATGTCCCAGTTGTGGCTAATCTGTTGAATTTTTTGAGGAGCAAAATGCATTCTTAGGTCAGCATTAAAATAAGCATATTACTCATTAATCATTAAAAGCCATTGAGCTTGAGATCATCAAGAACTTAAAGTAAGCAAAAAGCATTTTCTTTTCAGCAGTATTTAGAGCATAGAACATTGCTTTCAAATATTCCTCTTTTATAATGGTTTACATTGTAATTCGTAACCACCTTGGAATAACCCTTTTCCGGTCAATGGATCATCCCTCTCTCTGTGGGCACTTGGCTTTATTTAGTTGTAAGGCATATTCATCACCTGTGCAGGAATAATGACAAGTGCAAGTCATGTTGCCAGTTATCTTGCCAGAGACACCTGGCATCATAAAAAAAAAAAAAGAGGTAACTTAGCCTACAAGGTGTGTCTATTTTGGCCAGTTCTTCTGTGTCTCCTTTCACCTGAGAGTGGGAGCGGGACGCACTGGTTAGACAAGGATGTGGCAAGATGAGTCCTCACTGGGTGGCAAGAGATCAAGCCCGGACCCCCTCTGCTCTTCATAGTGTGATTATAGGCGAGTTATCTAATGTCTTGGCTCATCAGTCTCCTTTTGCTCTGACTCCCACGTGCTTGTTGCGGGGGAATGAAATAATTCCTTTGAAAACATGTGGGAAAGTTTCATTGGGGGGGGGAGTGCATTATGCAATTGTGAAAGGTAATAATGTACAAGTTCATCAGACACACTCTCTCCCTGCTGATGTGGCTGGTCGTAGGATTCAGTCTCTTCTTCATTTATCAGTGAGGAGGGGACAACCGCCTCCCTCGCAAAATAACTTACTATGATTTGGTGCAATGAGCCATTAACATGACCTACTAAGAAGGTACCTACTTGGGTTGAATGTGGGTAGAATTAGAATGTACTCTAAGTTCCAGAAAACAGCTGTTTGAAAGCCAGAGGATTCACACTCTGTTGCACAATTAATTGGGTAAGGGAGAGGGGAAAAAGTGGAGTAGAAACGAGGGCAACACTGTTTCAAGTTGGGAAAAAAGTGCTACGGGAGAATGATGATGGAAGGCACCTGGAGGGAACGAAAACTACCACCTCTGTACTAGGAAGCTGGCCATTATGTCCAACCTTGAAAGTGCCCCAACCCAAGACAATTACAAGAAAAATAATTACAACTGATAAGGAAAATAAAGAGGAAACGGAGGCACCAAGATTAAGTGACTCGGCCAAGGTCATCCATATAGTGGAGAGCAGAGCTGGGATCCAAGATGTCCGATCCAAAGGTCACCTTCTTGGTTCCTACAAACACAGCCTCCAGTGTAATCACTGGTAGAAGGCAAGGCTACCTATTGTAGTGAATCCCATCAGTGATGCTATTTAGCTTGTGTATGACACCGTCACATTATAGACCTAAAATAGACCACTGTTCAGTGCATGGATGTAGGCCAACACAGAAGCTTTCCTCCTGCATGGCAGTTCTAAGGCACACTGAATATTTTAAGGGCTGATGTGATTAAAAAGACCAGAGAATAACGGGTCATTCCAACACTGAACTTGTCTGAGCTACACGGACAACTTTCTGTGGCCACCACGATTTACAGGTCTTTACTGGAGTGACTTCTTTGGGCTGTGGTTGGCCTGAAAATTCTGATTCAAGACACTCCCCATCACAGAAACAGACTACTGGAAGGGCGAGGTGTGTCTTAATAACTAAAGTTTTCATGATCCAACCTTAAGTAGAATATCTACAATCCCAAATTCAATCCATATTGGAATTAAGATTATGGGAAAATTATGTATAGTCTGGAAGGATTAAAAAAAAAAAAAAGAATCCCAAAACACCAGGATAAATCATGAGTGATCCAGATGCTGCAAACTGGCGTCAAGGTCATAAAGCAGTCCACATAGCAGAACACATTGCCTCTGGAGCGATTTCCCCATTTTTCCCAGTGGCTGCCCCTACTGCAAGGTATTCCTGGCAATCACACCACAACACCACGAGCTGGAAGCCTGTGCTTCCAATCCAGGTCCCAAGATGCACGCTGCTACGCAAATGTCGGGTAGACCTGAACATACTTACTCTTGCAACAGTGCTTGCGGGGGGGACACTGAGTTCATTAAAGGGGGTGACATTTCTTCAGGATAATAATCTGTCCTCTGTGGTTCAATCCCAGGTTCTATTTTAATTTTTTTCTGTAATATAGGCTTCTCATATGATTCAATTACAGGTACTAAAAAAATAAAAATAGAAAAGTCACTCCATGTACAATTTACCAATTTCAGCTTTTAAAAGTCTACTGCACAGCTTCTATCTCTAACACCGGATTATTTGTTTGCCTTTGCCAAAATTACAGCAGAAACAAATCTGGGTTTGGGGTGGGGGTCGGGGTGGAAGGGGACGACTCTCATTTCGCCCCCACCACTATTCTACTAGCAAGCAACATGCATAGGAAGCTGGACTTTGAGCACCTCAGTCCTCAAACGGTTCTACTTTAGGATTTTGGGTTAACCTCTTTTTAACCCTTTCGTCTCCTGCCTACGGCGAGCCAGTGAAGGAGGCGGCTTTTAGCAACCATTACTTATCACCACCAGCAGAGGCGAGTATTAGATGCCGTTTTAACAGAGCCACATCCGCATTCAATAAAGCAACATAGAAAGTTGGGATTTTTACCGGCCCGAAGTTGCCGATTATGCAGTGAAAGTAATGATTTTATGGCATTAAACAGCTTGACTCCTGGGAGCTCTTCCAGGATCAACACTTAAAAAAAAAAAAAAAAAAAGGCCACGACCAGGGAAAGGAAACGATGCCTGGGGCAGGGGTCCCTGGAGGGCCCGAGGCGGGGCAGGTGGGGGGCAGGTGGCGGGGCAGGTGGCGGGGACAGGTGGCGGGGCAGGTGGCGGGGTACCTTGCATGCTGCTGTTGGAGTTCTCCATCTCCTCCGACAGGGAGACCATGAGCGGCTGCTGGAGGTGGCTGGTGTACATGAAGGGGACCGGCTGCACCACGACGGGCTGGATGACGGGCAGTATCCCGGGGCTGCGGATGCCGTGCCGGGACAGGGCCGCGGCCATCACCGGGGGCATGGACAGCGGCACCCCGAAGGGCTGCACGCCCGCGGGGGGCGGCGAGTACTTCTTCACGGGCGGGCTGGAGGAGGGCAAGCTCAGGCCGGGCGAGGCCCTCCGGTGCGACGGCTGGAACTTCAGCGACGACGGCGAGTTTCCCGCCGAGGGCGGCGAGCTGCGCTTGTTCACCGTCAGGTCCACCGGCTCCATCTGCATCCCGTGCGACAGGCCCTCGGGCGTCTGGAAGAACTTATCCGGTAGCGGCGTCGAGTAGATGACTCCGTACTTGTTGGGCTTCATCGGCTCCATGTAATTAGACGGGTAGGACTACCGGGAAGAAGGACAGAGACGGCTCAAGCCACGGGCACAGGTGCGCTGCAGCGCCAGCTACCGACGCCGTCGCTACAGGGCGCTCCCGAGGGCGCGCACCCCGCGAGCGCTGTACCTGGATGTATGCTGAGCCCCCCAAAAACGCTGAGGACAAGCACCCCGCAAGCGCTGTACGTGGGGGGTGCATGCTGACCCCCCCAAAAGAAACGCTAGGAGGAGCGCTGTACCTGGAGATGTATGCTGACCCCCCCCCAAATGCTAGGACGCGCAACCGCGAGCGCTGTGCGTGGAGATGTATGCTGAGCCCCCCCCAAAAACGCTGAGGACGCGCAACCCGCGAGCGCTGTACGTGGATGTATGCTGAGCCCCCCCAAAAGAACGCTAGGAGGACGCGCACCCTGTGAGCGCTGTACGTGGATGTAAGCTGACCCCCCCCAAAAATGCTAGGAGGACGCGCAACCCGCGAGCGCTGTACCTGGATGTATGCTGAGCCCCCAAAAACGCTGAGGACAAGCACTCCGCAAGCGCTGTACGTGGGATGCATGCTGACCCCCCCCCCAAAAGAAACGCTAGGAGGAGCGCTGTACCTGGAGATGTATGCTGACCCCCCCAAAATGCTAGGACGCGCAACCCGCGAGCGCTGTGCGTGGAGATGTATGCTGAGCCCCCCAAAAACGCTATGAGGACGCGCACCCCGCGAGCGCTGTACGTGAAAATGTATGCTGACCCCCATAAACACTATGAGGGTATAATGAATGTCCGGGGTAACGATGTTACATGAGACATCTCAGGGTTTTTTTTTTTTTTGTTTTTAAATTCATGAGAGACAGAGGCAGAGACATGGGCAGAGCGAGAAGCAGCAGGTTCCCTGTGGGGACCCTGATGCGGGACTCGATCCTGGGGTTCTGGGATCACACCCAGAGCCGAAGGCAGACGCTCGCTCAACCACTGAGCCACCCCAGGCACCTCGAAATCTCAGATTTAATTCTATGATGATTCCCATCCAAAATATTAAGGTTGAGGTTGATACCTGGCAAAAATTTTAAAACAGGTGATACACAGAAGATTTTTCATGGGCCTTGATCCCTAGGAGTCAGCGGGGCTTCTCAGTGGGCAGGAAATGCGGCTTTCCCCCTAGCGGTGCGGAAGTGCGCAGTTCTCACCATATGCTTGCGCGTAACACAGAGAAACGGAGCTGCAGTACATATGGAGGGGCTTCCGCTGCCGACCAATCGATGCCTAGGGTGACCTGAGCAATGGTCCTGTTTGCACTGGACAGTCTGGTTTCAGCACTAAAAGCACTAATAAGCCCTACTACATCCCAGGAGACACTCCGTCTCAGGCAACTGAGATGGCCAGTCACTCCCACCCACCTATATATCGAGGGCCACCCACTATCTCGTAATTATGTCCTTGGCCCCAACTCATTCAACGGTCTTATTCATGGTTTGAATGAAACTGCAGGTGGTGACTTGATGTCCAAATTTGTGCATGACACAGAAGTCTAAGAAATAGCTATATGACTCAAATAAGGACACGTGGTGCTTGAAGTGACTACTTACACACAAATTGAAGCGTAGTGTTTCCTCCAAATCTAAGCTCTGACGATTGACCTGACTGATCTTCAAATACCTTTCTCTCATAGAGAGAAAACAGTCATAATCATTGCATTCTATGGGTGTAGTCCTCGGCCATGGAATTCACTAGAATTACTTCTATTCCTTAACTAAAATTGAAAAAAAATTCTTTGCTGTAAGATGCTTTAAAAAAAAATTAGACTCAACATAAACTATTTTCTTTACTCGTAGGTATTTTAGGGAAACTGAAACTTTTATTAGTGATAACATGTCTGCTAAAACTACTTGCATTTAAAAACTTTATATTTTAAAAATTAATTTATAAAAAAAATAAAAAAAATAAAAAACTTTATAGTCAAATTGATAAGCAACATACTATGCCTTGCTTTCAGTTCTAAAATCATTTTGAAGCAATACTAGCTCATGGGACAACGACGAAAACTTACCAATGGGGTCTTATCATTGAAGAGTTTACATGCATGAGAAATTTCCAGACTGTCTCCAGTGCCCCAGTAGCCACTACTGTGAGTTATAAATGACGGTGGGACAGCAGTAGTTTTTACTGGGATTACAACTGAGATCATACCCCTTCTTCTCTGGGCCTGCACTAGGTAGGTGCATCTTCACCTGGCTATGCATCCCCCGTGCGGTTTCTAAAACTTCCTTCTCTGGACCTACCAGGCAGAAGTATCGGACAGTATGGCCGATATGGGACCAGGCAGTATTTATCTTTATCTGCTTCTGAAGTCAGTTTCTCGTTAGGATTGTGTGTTTTGTTCTTCTGCCTTTCTTTATCCCTGTCAATGCAATCTCTATCATCTAGAGCAGTGATTCCTGCAACACGGTGCACATCTCTCTCTAGGGGTACCGGAGACACTTTATAGGTAGTACACAAAGAATACAGTGCTTTAAAAGAGTTATATGTTTATTTAAATGCATAAGAAAAAAACTTTTTACAGTGCTGGTACAAACTTCCTTTTCAGAATAAATTCATTAAAAAAGCAATTCTACAGAAGAAGGTAGGAAAGCTTACTAATATTTAGGGAGAAGTGCAGGTGCCATGAGTATAAGGCAAAACTTGTCAAGGTGATATTGAAAACCCACATTTTAGGAGGTTGTGAGGCTAAAATTAAAATTGGATTCAGTGAGATAAGCCATGTAATGAGCTTAACACACACTGTAGTGCTAGAAGTCTCTTCTCTTTCTAGACAAGAAGTGGCACTGTAATGGGTCTGATCCTCTCAATCAGGGCTTCTCAAACTTTACTGTGCACAAATGTACCTGACCATCTTGTCAAAATGCAGATTCTGGATTTCTGGAGTGGCCGGCCCTAGGTGCACAGACCTCTTTTGAACAGCGTAGCTCTCAATGACAAAGAGAGAATAGAATAAAAATACTAATTTTTAGTATTAAAATTTGATAAACCATTCAAAAACAATTTAAAAGTGCAGGAAGAATTTTTCACTAACAATACTGCTTAAAAACAAGGATGTAGGGATCCCTGGGTGGCGCAGCGGTTTGGTTTGGCCCAGGGCGCGATCCTGGAGACCCGGGATCGAATCCCACATCGGGCTCCCGGTGCATGGAGCCTGCTTCTCCCTCCGCCTGTGTCTCTGCCTCTCTCTTCTCTCTCTCTCTCTCTCTGTGACTATCATAAGTTAAAAAAAAAAAAAAAACAGGGATGTGAAGGATATAAAATCAGGAAAATATTTATTTATTTATCTATTTATTTATTTATTTATTTATTTAATTTTTTAGACTTTATTTATTTGAGAGAGAGAGCCCATGTGCACACATGAGCAGAGGGAGGGGCCGAAGGGAAGGAAGAGGGCAAGAACCTCTAGCAGACTCCACAGAGTGTAGAGCCTGACGTGGGGCTTGATCCCAGGACCCTGAGATCATGACCTGAGCTGAAACCAAGAGCTGAACGCTTAACTGACTAAGCCACCCAGGCACCCCTATAAATTGTTGTTTTTAAAAACAACAATTGTTTTGAGTTATGTATCAAGAATCAAAGGAGGAAAAAGAATCTTCCTTTAGAACCAGGCACACATAAGTACACCACAGGGTAAGAGGCCCAAAACATACAGCCATACTAATATTAAATATATTTACACTTAAATATGAAAACAGGTAATGTTAAGAGGCACCAATCTGCTAACAAAACAAAAAAATTCTAGTATGTTCAACAAAGGTTTAAAGAAATAATTAAATATGGGGAGAGAAAGATTTCTCCTAGTTCTAAAGGTTAACTCACTTTATAGAATTTTCAAAAGGGCAAAAAGTTCTTGTATTAGAAACAAAAAGTTAGGAGATGGGAGGCGCATTAATTGTTTCTACTCACCAAATGTAGCTTCTCCCTTATTTTCAGCCTTATTCTTCAAAGACCTCCCTATGACCTAGATTTTAATGCCAAGTTATTGGCAGCTAAATAGAAAGCAGAATGAGGACACATTTTTATTGCTGTCATTGCTGGATTTTTCTAACTGTGGGGTGAGTTTAAGGAAAGTAGGAATTTAGAACCTGGGAGATTTGCAAATTTAATAATATTCTCAGGTTTCTGAAGCCATAAAGAAAGAGAAAGCCACACATAAAGCCAAGTTTTATAAACATTATGCACTTTTCTGCTGACTTTGCTCCCCAATGAATGCCCCCCGGCCCCCCATACCCAACCATGCAGTTTTTGCAAGGCTTTGGGGCTAAAAGTAGGGAGACACATTTGGATACACATCACAGTAAACAATTAACTATTTCCAGTCTGACGGCCTTGTAAAAGGGTGAAGAAATGTGGTTCCTCATACCATCTCACTAGAAATTTCCATAGTGATGTTGATCAGAACCTTCTGTAAGATGTGTTTGCTTTAATTATTTGGATGGAGCACATGAGCTACTACAATCAGCTTGCAAACAATCTGGTTCTCCACAGTGTAAGGACCAATACAGGGTTTGCTCTGGGCATGTGCCTTAGGTGAGTACACCCTGGTAAGAGTAGCTTCTCCTCTGTTCCAGACTTTTCCTATCTTCTAGCAAAGCAGTGCAAATAAGGGCCGCATTAGTCCCAAATCCCAATCAGAGGCAAGTGTTGAAGAGGCAGCAAAAGCTCCTCTGGCCACAGATGGCTATCCAATCCCCCTGTGCACACAGCTTACCCGAGGAGGCCTCATATCCTCGAACAGAGCAGCCTGAAGACAAGGCTCCAGCAAGGGTCTCTCCCATCTTGCGGCCCTCACTGGGGGTGGTCATGAGTTGTGCTTTTCAAAAAGTTCTCTCCTGTTGTAATATACATTCATGTGTTCAACCTCCACAGCATGTGTAATTTCTTTGCTGGCAGCCTCCTCTTATGTGATGAATGAATGAAGTGAATCAATGCATACTCTGAGCAAGATTTTACTACATTATGGATAGCATCAATTCTTTTGATTCTCAAAAACAAGGACTTTAATTGTGACAGGGAAAAAGGCACAGGGCTTGGACGATTTTTCCAAAGTGAGCACTTTAATCATCTCTTGTTTTACTGGGAATCGTTTTGGTGAATTTTCCATCACAAGACAGTTGGAAGTGGATGGACTGACTGACTGCATGAAACATGGGCAGAGTCTCTATTTCACTGCTTATTAATATGAAAACCGAGCGAACATCCGTGATAGGGCAATGGCAAGTCAAAAGCATCTTCATACCAAGGGTGGGGTTCCCACTGCAGAAAGGCGTGGTGCATTTATAAACACACATTCTGGAAACAGCAAATGTCATACTCTTCTACGCAAGCTAAAGTAGAAAGCTCTCTTTCTACCAGGCTCAGAAAGTCATGAAAGTTTCTGTTAGAACAGAGGTACTACTGATTTTAAGTAAAATCTCAACCTGTAAAGAGTCTGTCAGAGGATAATTTTCATTACAAGAAAGGAAGGGGAAAAAAATACACTTTTTTCCAAAAGTAATCTTCCTAAAGGAATAAAACATGAATACTTTTAAAAAACATTTTCTTTCTCACTTCCTGATTTAAATTCTTTCATTTCCGACCTTCTTTGAAAATATATTGGTAAAAGCAATTCTTTGATATGTGCATTGTATATTCACATCTCATATTTTGCATATTTTCATTTCCAATTTTACAAAAAAAAAAAAAAAGGGCTCAGGGAACTGCTGGTGGTTTGCCAATATCACACTGATAGTAAGTAGAAGAGATCCACAGCACGGGGAGCGGATGGTGGTCTATGCTGTTTCCACATCAGGGCCATCCAAAGCCTTACTGTTTGCCTCAAAGCACAAGGGTTAGCAGAGGAGGGTACCGAAAGCTTACATTTCATTAAGAGAAATGACACTTCCTTATTTTTTCTAAACTTTAGCAAAATACCAAATAGGTAACTCAGCCTTCAGGTCAAAGGTGGAATTAAAAAAGAAAAAAAGAGGAACAAGGGAATAATAAATTAGGCTTAGTGTACTCCACCTAAAGAGACAGAAAGGATAAAATCTGAAGATTCAAGAGTGGAAACAAAAGCTTTTTATTTAGTTTTGTAAAGTAAAGTAATCACAACACCCCACACTACCCAAATGTTCCAGTTAACTGAGGTTTTGCTGAATTAAGAAAAAGAAATGTAATTGTAAGGACTGTCACTAACTTTTGATGAAATGATCTCATCAAATTCTTTAAGTGTTAGCTCGAAGTTGAAAACTAGAGCGTGAAGGAGAAAAAGACCATTAATTGCAAAAATACTTCTATATATTTTAACTTCACATATTTATGTAAGGTAACAGCATTATAAGTATATCTGTTACTTCAAATTCATTTTATTTCCTTTTTTTTCCAGTCAAGTGCATTTCCTTGCACTTAATTATATCACACCAACTTAGCAACGCGGATCTTCATTTGAGCTTTAAATTGGCTCTTCAGCCATATTTTCATGCTTGATTAAAAGCATTGGAAGTATACTGAATATTAAAACGCATCAAAGATGGTTCTGCATCATTTAGAAAATTAATCATATTCTCCAGTACTAAAAACCTATTCATATTTCAAGGATATAATTAATAGGGAAATTTTATAGCTCAATTTTCCTCCAACGTGATCACGCGATAGTTTGGAGTAAGGGGGCTGATGAATATGGTGACAGCACCAAATAACATCAGAAGTCAATTTAGTTTTTGATTAATGAAGTTCTTATTGCTCAGTTATTATCACCTTCAGACACTTGGGTTATCCAGCTCGCACGCTGGAATGTAAATGTTATTTCCTCCAAGCCACTTGGACCTCACTTTTCATTGTACCCAGTGGTAAACACTCCGCTGGTTCAGTCATGCCCATGGCGACTCAGCTCCAAGGGCCTCCGGGTGACCCCTGTGTCTTGTATAAACATTTTTGGCAGGAGCCTCAGTGGCCGATGCATAAGGATGATCTAATTTTGCAAGCGTGTCATTACCAACCTTCAGATACACAACTCAGCCAAGTTTTTCCCCTTGTGACTATTTTCCAAGCCCATGGAAGAAACGAGCAAGGCAGAGTGGGAGCCTTGCCCTGTTATTTCCTATTGGCCCATCCGATCGCCAGGAGTCCAAACCACTCCCTGCCTGGAAGTCCCTGGACCCCTCTCTGTCACCGCCCCTGTCCCACTTCCATAGCACAGCACCAGTGCTGGCCCTCTATAAACCCCTGGACTAACTCCTAGCCGCCTGTGGCCCAGAAGCTTCCCGAGGGGTTGGCTTTGCACTAAGGTGTTGAAAAAGACAACAAGATTCCCTCCCAGCCACAGACTCTTCCATAGTGGAAAGGAATCCCATCCTCATGGCTAGGTCCTCTCTCGTTAGCTTCTCCTCAACCATCTCACTCAGGCACAGCTCAGTATAAGGTGTTGTCATCGGCTTTATTCTGAATATGTTTGTATTTTATTTTTTTAAAGATTTTATTTACTTTAAAAAAAAAAAAGATTTTATTTACTTATTCATGAGAGACACAGAGAGAGAGGCAGAGACATGCAGAGGGAGAAGCAGGCTCCCCATGGGGAGCCTGCTGTAGGACTCAATCCCAGGACCCCGGGATCACAATCTGAGCCAAAGGCAAACACTCAACCACTGAGCCACCCAGGTGTCCCCCGAATACGTTTTTAGATGCAGAGCTGAGAATTTTTTTCTTTCCCAGGTTTCATCTTTTATTTAATCAGCTCCAGGAAGGACATGCTGAATACCACAGGACACAAAACGGAATATTTTTTTTCTTCCAGTATTGAAAAAAAAAAAAAGGACATTCACAAACATTTTTAAGAAAATATTCTTTATAATTGGGCTGGTGATCTTGAGTAAAGAACACCTCATGGAAACACATTCTTGATGCAGATTTCTTGTAAAAGTACAGCTGAAAGCTTCTTAACCATGATAAACATTGAGTATGGGATTTTTTTTTTTTTAATATCCTGGATGCACATTAATTTTTAAAAATCAGTCTGGTCAGGCTTTTTTTTTTTTTTTTTGAGGGGGGGGCAAACCAATAATCCCAAGAGCCCCAACAAAAAAGCTGGTAACTGAGGAGTTTTTATAAACCTCCTTCTGTCATGACTAGATTCACCTGTGACCCAAGTTCTATGCTGATCACATCTTGGGGGGCCTGGGGTACTGGTCTTGAGGAGACATGGATCCCATCTATTGAAGGGTATATGGTATTAAAGGTGTTAGGAGGGTGTTTAGCTCAGTTACCAACCGTGGCTTTGAGAAAAGTGTGTTTACCAAATGCCTGTCAAGTGATGAGTAACTTTAAGGAATAACACAACACACAATAATGTTATTGCCACTTGCAGTAAATAGGAAGAGGTGTTCAATTTTGGAAAACTTACCACCGACACGGAGTCCATGACCTCTTGCTTGACAGGGACCGGGTCAAACATGAGCATTCTTTTAGTTAAGCTTTCTAGGGTGCTCTGAGGTTTAGCCTAGAAAACAAAACAAGGTGTCCAAATAAGTCCCAAGGTCACTTTAAACATAAGTGAGTAAAAATAAAACCTAATATTCCTCAAACCCATTCTCTGCTCCTTCCTCTCCCCTGGCCCCAGAATGGCTGGAATTTATTTTCCTTACCTATGAAAGATGCCATTTTATATAATTAAAACCAGATTCCACGGTCATAAGTAGATGAGAGCCAACTGGCATTTCTAACTCCAATACATAAACCCTGACATTTTCTGGAACAATATGTACAGCCCCTCCTGAGCAGCAAAGCTTGCATAACATTGCTGTGCAATTCACCATCAGTTCACATGATATATGAATGTTAAACATTTTTCCTTATGTTCATTACAGACAAATCAAGAAAAAAAACAAGACAGGCAAAAAGAAAACCTAGAACCAACCACCATTCATAACTTTGTTTTTATCCTTCCAAACTCTCTTTTAAAATAGATTATAGTATACATACGATTTAGTACCCATAATTTCACTTGACAACGGATTCTAAAAATGTTTCTTTTTCAGTAAGTATGGTTCCATACTGTGGAATTCCGTGTGCCACTGTGTGAACACAGCTTTTTTTTAAAGTATCCCTTTTTACTGGGCACTTAGATTGTTTCTAAATGTTCATCATTATGGATGGCAGTATCTTTATACTTATGCCTTCCTGCACACCCTTAATTTATTGTTAAATAGCATAAGGGTAAATCTCACATGGAGGAATTCTTGGGTGAGAAGCATGTACATTTTCCAAAGCAGCTGATCTATCATCCAGCAAAAATGCTCTATTATTTCCATGAATAAAACAGAACCCATTTCTCAACATGCCCACCTGCAATGTGCATTACCGCTTAAAAAAAAAAAAAACTTGGTTTGTCAGTTTCAAACTGGCAAACTATTTTTATTCTAAATTGATTTTGTTGAAGTCGAATTTTTTCAATTTTTATTTTCCATTTGCATGTCTCCTCTAGAGAAATGCCTATATTCAGGTCTTGACTCCTTCCCCATCCCCAGGCTGCCCATTGTTTCCTAACCCACTTTTTATACATGAAGACTCATTTTTTGGTATTCACTCCCAATTCTTCATTAGGAAATAAGCTAATCTATAGCCTAATGTAAAGGAAATGTCCATCTTAATCCCATTTGGCCTTTCTCTTCTCTTCTTCTGTTGTTATGCTCGTGTTATCCGTCCCTTTTCTTCTGTGTTCTGTACTAGTTCACTGCTGGCACTAATCTACATCAAGCCAACTGCTTCCTCACAAAACAGAATATTCACTTTGCTCAACATCCAACTGCATTTCACAGGTTTGGGAATCACTGCCCAGCTACTACCCAGATCTTCGACAACCTGCTTTAGGCACCTACTATCCAAATTTGGTTTCAGGCTTCAGAGCTTTGGTTGAAGGCAAGGTCTTTACTGGACCACTTTGGTTTGTGTGGGAGAGTGAACAAGTTCTGGACTGCAATCTACCTGAAAAAGCTGCAGAAGTCTCTGGTTCTAGGTTACCTCCTGTATTTCAGGATTAAAACTCACCAGCCCCAGCCCCACCTCCACAATAGCAGTTGTATCCACGCTCTGTGGGTTTTACTACGAAATCTTCACATACAATTATAAAAGTAATACTGTGTCGTTCTTGTGCTCCCTTGCTCAGTTGAAGAAAGACTGTTCTGGGTCTCATGACAACACGTGAGTATCGTCATTAACTCAACATAAGGCTCTGACTTCGAATTTTATTTTCCTACACCACAGTATGTATTATAATCTGTGAACACAATTTGATACCAGGCTGCTCAAATCAATGGTGCTAATACCCTCTTATGTATGCCAGCAAAAACAAACCCCAACAGCCAGTGAAAAATGGATGATTTCATAATGAAGGATGAAAACCCCTTTTGTGTCTTAGGATCTATTATTAACCAGTTCCCAGCCTAGCAGCTGCAGAGATGGATATGGTTCTAAAAAATACTGTCCAGTGCCTCACAGCAGACTATAAACAAAAGATGTGAGATCTTCTGCTCACATCAATGAGGTCAGGTAATTCAGTAGCCCTGACCTTTGGCTGGCCACCCTTCCCCCAAGCCTTTTAAATTTAATTTAATGGCTACCCTTCCCCCAAGCCTTTTAAATTGAATTTACTCTTAGATTCATCCACTTGACTGAAGGGTATCTTGATGCAAATTCTTCTAAATATAAGCAGTCCTATTCTCAGGTGCATTAACAAAAAGAGCTCTGGTCTTGGTCTCTCTTTTTTTTTTTAAGATTTTATTTATTTATTCATGAAAGACACACAGAGAGAGAGAGGCAGAGACACAGGCAGAGGGAGAAGCAGGCTCCCTGCAGGAAGCTGACATGGGACTCGATCCCAGGACTCCAGGATCATACCCTGAGCCAAAGGCAGAAGCTCAACAACTGAGCCACCCAGGTGCCCCGGTCATGGTCCTGAGACTCGAACAGGAGAGCTGCATCCTAGCTATGAAATTTAAAGCAAAACAGAACCCTTTGCCCTGTAAAGAGTTTGTATCAATAAACACATACGCAATTTCTGGATATACATAGGTGTGTACACGGCACTAACACTGTTGGTTCCAACTTCAGGAGCAAAGTCAAGCATTTGTCTCTTTGCCAACGTAGGTAGGCTTTTAGAGGTCGGTCCCCTCTGCCCTTTAAAAGACTCAGACTGAATTCAGTTTAAAAGTGACTAGCAGCCTACATCCTGCCTGAGAGCTCACAGAGGGGCTTGCCACTTCCCAGCTGCATATAGTGCAAGTGTATGCCTCACGGTACCTTACAGCCTTCACTACCAGTAAGAGCACACAGTGGAATTAGGACGGGCTCTGGTTCAAATTCTAACTCCACCATTTAGCTCATAAAGCCATTAACAACTTTTCCTAATGCCCAGAGCCGTGGCTATTAAATCCATTTAGAAATGAATGACACATTAACCTACTCTATCTCTTATCATTTAAAGACGTTATTTAAATCGCTTGCATTAATGTTTATGCTTTATCTGAATTTAAGGAAATGAATGCTCCACAACTTGAAATCATAAATGAAAAAGGTAAAGTCTAATATAGAGCATCTGCCCTAATAAAAAATTTTTTCCTAATAAAATTTTTATTAAAAAATAATTGTGAAGGTATGTTTATAATATGTTCAAAACTGTACCTCAAGAGTAACTCAATCCCTGGTGAACTGATAGTTCTCATTATAGAAGTATTTCAGCTAGTGAATGAAAAAGGAGTGGTACAATTAGAAGACCTCATTTTGAAAGACTTAAACAAGGCAACGCTGGACAAAGTCTGCAACATTCAAATATCATTATGAATAGAACGAAACTCACTCACTGTCCATTTGCACGCTGAACAGTATTCTGTTCCCGACCTGGCTGCCTCTAAAAGGACCGATCATACTTTCAGCGGTAGTCACAGGATATGGAACAAGAGGTGAAGGACGTGCAAAGAAGACTGTACACTCTTAAACTGTCAACCAGACTGCCCTTCTTGGGAGGGGGTCACGGGGTGGGAGAGCTTTAAACACACATCTGTGTGCCAATGTTTAAATGTATCAATTCTAGAATTAAAACTCAATCAAAGCACAGGAGGGAAGCTAAGCCAGAAAGAAACCAAATTTAGGAAGAGAATGGAACACAGGAACACAAATCAGGCATTTGTTTATTTATGTGCAGAAAAATTCTATAGTCTGTAACTAACTCCTGGGCCTATCTCTGGTCCTGACCGTGTCTTTGGGTTCAGGTGTAGGATAGGAGGAGTGACTGCAAAGTCTCCAAGGTGCCTTGCATACGACTGAGAAGTAACTTATGCATTGAAAGAACTAGAACGCAGTGGATCTTGTTACACGTGGACAGCTCAGGCTCGGGGGACACTAACATCCTCGGTACAGTACACTAAATAAAACACAACCGCGCAGGAAAGCTCTTACGCCACACGGACCGCAGTCTTGAGCAGAACCAGGAGGTGGCGCGCTACGACAGGTATTAGGGGCTAAGGACACGCGGGAAATGGGAGTTTGCCGACCTCACCGTCCTTAAACCCAGTGGGTTTTAAGCGGGCCCAGGAATTCTGTTAACCACTTTCTGTGGGTGCCACGGAGATGAGAAGTCCCCAAACGTGGTTCTGTTTTTTGTTTTTGTTTTAATTTTTGTCCCACACTGCTATTTTCCAGTCATTAATGCATTTACATCGTAGCCCTACTGAACTTGCCAGAATGATTTTCCATAACCGGAACAAATGTCATCCCTCCCTAACTGGGTTATTTTGCTGGGAAGAGCCATCCGACTGAATTTTTCGCCAAAGAGAAGAAACACATTTCCCTTCACTCTCTCTACTTACACTTCTGACTTTTCCCAAATTAAGACATGGGTCAGATTTTTTTGTCAAAATGCAAAAACGTGTGATTTAGGTATTTAAAAGCTTTGGTGCATCATTTACATAAAGTTTCAGAAGGAATGCAGTTCCATCTCACACTCTTATCCAGTCCACCAGGAGGCCTACTCAACAGCTGATTTAGGAGGATACAAATGAGCTGCAGAGCTCAGAAGTAAGCACAACTCTTGATGTAAGAGGAGCCTATGATGTCACCAAACCTCCTTTGAAAGAAGCTTGTCTTGAAGCAGGAGCAAGTTTTATTATAGAAACAATCTTACGATTGTCCCTTACTTAGAAGCATCACACACACACACACAATGTGTGTGTCTGAAGCTAAGTTTCTTGTGATACAGCAGGATTTGCTCCTGACCTTCTCCCTTCTTGGGTACATTCCAAATCTCACTCCTCAGATCCTCAAAGGGTCCCTGCATTATCCTCCCCCAACCCAGCCTGACCCTTAGACTCCAAATGACCTGCCAGCCTCGGAGCAATCTTTGTCTCCTGCTGACCTCAGCAAGGTGTAAGGAGAAAAACAGTAGGAACAAAGCATGACGTCATCTGCAAGCGCCCTTAATTTTCCCAAGGGTTTGGATGTTAAAAG